CAATTGCCGAAATATTCAATGGCTTGATTAGCTTGTTGAGTGCGATGTGGTCTATACAATCACTTGCAGGAACCAGCCCACTCAGAAGAGATAGGTATCCATATTCTCCCAGAGGAGTCCGTACCAGTATGGTCCCGGAAGGTGGACAACTTTGTTAGCGTGGACGGAAGCCGATCCGGGATTTCGTTCCAGACCGCGTGCGTGATAAGCGTGTCATTTGCTACTACACCACCTCTTTCACCAGTTCTTATCTCATCACAGGTAGTCCAAGGGCTCATGTCTCTCGATACGGACAGCGTCGGTGAGCATGGGGCTACGGCGCCTAAACCATGAAGCGGATGCGTGTTTACTGCTTTTCAGCTGCGAAAAGGCAGCAAAATCAGTGGTTACGGCGCGGTGACGATCCTGTGCACCACTACCTCGACTTGGTTGATTGTAGAATGTGTCTTTAAGTGTTCCTGGTTGTCCTTCTCGCGTTTCTGCACATTTAAAAGACTTGGTTGATCAACAGCAGCTCTCATACAGCGTAATGCAACGCATCTATTGCACAACAGAGTGTCACGATCAAAGCACGCCTTGTCCTTATAGCGAATTTTTGCAGGATACATCCCCTATATTTCCCCTCCTGGCGCTACTCTCCTTCCTACCCTTACGTACCATCTTACTACTTTTCCCAACTTCCTGCCACTCATTTCCTTGCGCCGCGACCTGGAGGACGGGGCCCACATACGACCCCCACCGCCCCCTCCCCTCCCCCCCCCATGGGATTCCCCAACGTTGTGAATAGCACGTGAAACAGGAAGAATCAAGTATCAGAAAAAAGTTCCCAGGCCAACTACTCACTGCTGGGGATTGCTCTGGTGCGACGTGTCCTGGTACGATATTCAGGCTACTGAAACCTGAATTCTGTCAGTGTTTCAGCAGAAAAGTAAATCGGCCACAGCCAAGGAGAAAATATCTACTAATCCTTCACTCTCTCAGTTTGAATTGTGAAGAAACTCCGTCAAAACTGAAAATAATGGCAGGCTTTGTTCAAAGCAAACATCGTAAAGATCTGTCAGTTGGAATAGTCATCGTGGCTTTTCTGAATCAAACCGTAAAACGAAGTCGCATGGCGTATCGTAATCGTCTGTTATAAAACGGCTGTGTCAGCTGCGCAACGCCCTTCGAGGTTCGCGACGAATCACTTCGTAAGAGCTTCATCCGCTTGCACACGGTCCTAACCCTGTTCCTTTTCAGACACCTCAAAGTGAACGATGTTGGTAATGCTCGGCTTGTTGCTGCTTTGCCACTTAGCCCTTGTCAACCCCTACTGCATACAGTGTGCCTCGCCGACGCTGCTTAACCAGTGGCAACTTACGGGCCTCCCAAGTCGTCCAGCTAGCCTTTCATTTACTCCACTGTGAGTTTCGCTTTCGCATCCACAATTGAGAGCTACTTTGAAAACGTTGGAAACTTTAGCTGTGACACCATCACTTCCGACGATACTACACCAGCCGAAATGCAGGTCCATTCCTGCTCGACCGCCTGCTTTGAGATGGTCATTCCGAATGGTTAGGGTTGTTTCTGAAAATTTGTTTCTTCACAGTTTGCATTTAAACCCTTCAGCGAATCAGTACCATTTCGTTCGCGGATGTCATGAAGAGTTTATCGAAGCTGGCGTGACAGCGCAACAAGTTGCTTCTGATGACAAGTGCTTCTACTCGAAAAAGGGCGATCAGCAGATCACCAGCAGTGATGGACTGATAACTGTACCAGCCGTGGGTTGAAATCACTATTACTGCTTGAGAGTTTGTTAGATCCTTTGGTCTCAAAGTGCAATATCGAATTTTTCGCTCAGTATATTCATTGAGTAAAAGATCCTTTGCACAGTTTGTCTTTACGGGAAAAATGGTAACCGAAAGGGACCGTTTTTTTACAAGACCGTTTTTTGAAAAACTGTGAGTTCTTGTTGCTAAAGCCACTAGTACCTTTCGCAACTTCCTCAGAGCTTACAGGCGTGACACTATTACTCAACATGTACAAGCAAGAGCAGCTAACGGAAGTGCGAAATGTCCCTCCATGCCAAATAGCGCCAAAGTTTTGTCGTATATACAAGACGAAACCGTTCTAGCACTCGGAGGCACACTTCGGAAACTCTAACCCCCCTCCCCCCCTCCCACAAGAAGGCAACACGACGTGAGGCCAGCAGGGATGTACCCTTTTCACGGCTTGCAAATGGAACCGCAAGCTTACCACTTATGATCAGGGCTAGAAGGGTAATGAGTGCCCACGTTGCCAGGGTCGAGCACATTAGGGTAATTATCAAATCTAAGAGGTTTGGGTGCGAGGCGAGGGACGACAACTAATTTCGGTTATTATTTATTCATTTTATTGTACGACAGGCTGAAAACAGTACCCCAAAATTGCTTCTGTTAACGAATGTTTCGATTTCGTGAATACACAGGGTAAGGCCAGAAAGCTAGAGCGGCGTTAATTCCACTTTACCTGAAGCCAAGTGTTGCCTATGCCAAAACTGAGAGGTACTTCGTACACACGATGCTCCTGGCACCCTGCTGAACGCTCAGTTTACCGCCTGTTTTACTTAAGTTATAACTTAGTGCCGCGGCATGAGGTTGACATTCCCGAATACGGTCAGGGCGATGTCAGGAGGGGCGGAGTGACCCGGCGTCGGTTGTCTTTCTACCAATAGTAATCGGCTAGTGATTCAGGAATGGCACAGGCGCTGATGAAAGACTGTGCATAGGCTCTCTCAATGCCTCTTGACGTCGCCCCGACTGACTGCGACAATATCCACTGTAGTGAGATTACGATACCGAACATATTTGCCATCTAGCTTTCCTGCTTTTTGTGACTCTTGCGAGTGTATCAGACTTTCATTGCATCTTCCTGTCGTCTAGCAAAGGATGTAGTTAACGTAGAGAGGCTTGCAATCGTCCAGTACGTAGAAATCCAGTTGCGACCAGGCCAGCCAAGTCTGTCCCACTAGCATCCGAGTTATGGCCGGTAAGCCTGCTCTCACTTTGGCCAACCTGTTCGGCACTAATTATGGTCACCTGCCAGCTTCAAAGATTGGTGGAGGACAGAATGGCGCCAAGTCAAACCTGGCCACCCTGTAGCGAGCCTGCGCCCGCAGCGAAAAAGACTATGAGTGCGATACTGGGGTCCTCGCAAGCGTGTTGGTGATATAAAATTGCTTCTCGTCGCCCGTACAGTGATATCAAACGGGTCTTATTTGGGTTTTGTCTACAACTCCTTCACTTCAAATATCGTTGCTGAGTTCAATGAGTACCTGCAAACTAACCTAATTTAACTTACTGTACCCAGGAATTCATGATTAGCCACAGCAGCGATTCTTCAAAAAAAAACAAGTTTAGGAGTTTTTATTTGTTTTTTTTTTACTTTTTTTCCAGTTTTCTGACGTCTTCTCATACCACACCTTTTCACCATGCAGATTGCTGTGATTCACTTCGCAAAAGTTGGTGATGATACTGCCGTCGTCAACGGGAGGATCGCCATGAAAACTCTGGTACTACCCGCAGCTGCCACCGCCGATCCTCCTGTTCTCAAGTCTTTGCTTTGCTCAGGTGAAAAGTCATAATTTGAGTTTCTTTGTGGACGATATATAACTTTTTGATATTGAGAAGCTCGAGCAGTGAACTGTGTGAAGAGCATGTACTACGACGGCGCCGGTCAAGATAATAACAAAGAGTCCTGTACAGGCGGATACTGCACTAGCGTAGAAGGCTATCTCAATGGTAATGTAAAGATTTGGATTTTGTCGGATTTTCTGCGATAACAAAGTCAAGGTGGGAGTGCAAAGGCCCAGCTTTAGTGTATACAGGGTACAGCATCGGGATGAGGTGGTGATGTCAGTACGACCATCGAAGTACGTAACGACCCCCCCCCTCCTCCTTCCCCCCCCCTCCTTTCCCCATGTGTTTCCCGAAGGCTGTACCCTAGGGGTACAGGGGGAGCCAAAAAAATACTTTTCCACCTTGACTTTCAAGGCGCTATAAGTTACACTTTATTAAATTCTGATGGACATTTCCACCACCATATTCAACAGCATATTAAATACTATCATGATACTCCGCCACAGCCTTCTGGAGGAGCGCCATCGAGAGATTCTGCCACGCGACCGTGATGGTGCCTGAGTTCAGCGAGATCGTTGATTTCTCCGCCACTGTAGACCCTGTTGAGCTCCGCCGAACCGGTAATTGAGGGGGTTTAGGTCAGGTGACACACTTAGATATTCCGTCTTCTTCAGGTACTCAACGCCCTTCCATTCCAAGTAGGCGAGAGTTTTTCCAACGCCCTTCGATTCCATGTGGAGGCACCCAATCCTGTAGCAGTACGAAGTTTTCAAGAAGGTACAGGCAATGACATGAAGGCAGGATATTCTCCACGAGTTGATCGATGTGACTGTCAGCGCTCACCTTCAGTCCGGACCATCACAAACAACATACCGGACTTCACATTCAGAACTTCCGGTTCCATACCGTCAACACGCACTCTTGCGCCCGACTGCGGTAAAGATGATGTCCTAGACCGTGGCGACGTTATCGGAGCTGCTCGATGTTGGAGGTGTTCCAGATCAAGAGTGCCGGTCTCCAGGTAGCTATCCATGGGTGACTCCATACTAGAAGTTTCGCAGCTGTTTGGAGGTGACATGAATTCCAAAGGTCTTCTCCAGTCAGGCTGCGACTGGAGATGACTTCATATTTTGGTGTACATGAAGGTGATGGCGGCGAAGAGCCTGCTCCCTGCTTATGTCGAACACTCTATGGGTCGGGTATCTTTCGCCCTGGTACTCGTATCCACGTCTTCTGATCTGGGCTGCGAGAACTTTATTGAAATGTAACTCGGTCGAAGTGTCTTTTTTTGGCCCTCCCTTGTATAGCCTCCGCGGCTACGAATAATGAGTACAGACTATATCTGATGGCGAATAGAAGCGTAGACGAGAGAGCCTGGATACGACAGAAGAGAGGCAGAGACGTCTGCATAGGAGAAGAGGGTTGGCACGGGAACGCGCAACCGTTGTCGGGAGTCCTTCTTTCCCTCCGATATGGACTGCAAGCAGCATTTTTGAGCAGTTGGAGTGCAAAGAGCGGTTAAATCTACAAGTAGCCTGCATCAATAAATGACTTTAGTTTAAGATAGCTCGCGCGCTCCTTAGTAAGACAGACCTTATGAATTGTAGCAGTACTATCCACTAGACTGCTAAGTTATGGGCCAAATGCTAGATCCCAGCCGAGAGTTTAACATGAATCTCACTTCTACACGGCTACTGCCATAACCACTGTGGCGCAAAGGCCGCCATGCCTTCTCACCCAAAAAAACCTTCTTTGAGAACTGCAAATGTCAAAATTTTCAGGAAGGAAATACATCGAACGAGGATGCGCCCCGATCTCGCCGTTCACACAAGACACATGTGTCACGATGCGCACGAATAGCACTTTCGCCGCAGGACCTGGTGAAGGTGGCGCCCTGTCCAGAGAGAAACGCTCCCTGAATGTAATCTTGGACGCCACCGAGTGCTTCTGCACATGTGAGTGCCCTTTTCTTCGATTTCTTTTATTTTCGGAATTGACCTTTCCGCGGTTGGAATGGCATTGCATTCAGAGTCAAGCGCATATCGCAAAATCCGCCTAAAGAGAAACCCTGCAATTGTATATTTTGGATAGTGACGCTCACTTACCAACCTATAGTCGGAGCCTCTCTGGCCGAATTGGAAGCTCGTTTTGAACCGCAAAGCTTATATTCCTATGACCTCTAGCTCAATGATGGTTATTCCGCATCATTCAATAATAATACCATCAAACAACGAAAAAAAGAAAAACGTGTGTAAAACTGAACCTGAGACAGAACACACCTTATAAGTTTCGGTGAGCGGGACAACTGCGGAGATGTCAGAAATGCCATGAGAACCATAGCACCTTCGTCACTTGCTCTAAAGCCGAGAAGGTGGGATAATCTTAGAGAGTGAGGGCCAGATTACTTGTACAAGGAAAGACGCCTACGAGTTGCTCGATCGCGGGGACTGTCTTCAAGGTTGAATTGTGTATGAGGTCCAGCCGTAAAGGTCCAGGGCGAGCCTGCAGCGTGCAGATTGTTCGAGTAGGTGAAGTCAATGCCAGTGCCATCTTTCGTGATGAAGCGAAAGGGGGCTACGGTTAACTCGAACTTTCAATCTTGGCTTTTTGTTCTCCTTTTCTTTCTCTGCACCATCTGGTCTATACGTATAGGCTCAGTGACCCTTGCTGCCGTACCTTGCACGTTCCAAATTCCACGCCACGATTGTGGCGCTCATCCAAAACGGTGTTCTTTACCTAGGAGAAACTTATCCCCTAGTTCGTCACATGAATTTGCACATTTTGACAGCAAAGTCGTGCTGGAAACTACAACGAGAGGGTTGCATTTGGCCACTAAATAAATAAAGAATGATGGTAGGCGCAGGTGTCAGTGAACACTCAAAAATGACCATTTGAAGGAAGTAAGGTTGTGGATCTTGTATTCCTTCTGTGTTAAGTACTTACACTAGATTATGTGTGTAACGGTACGACCGTGAAAGCTGAGAACCCGCATATTCAGAGAAAATTATCTCTTCAATTTTCAACATGTGCGCGCGCGCCTGCTTGATGCATCAGGGTTCCTCTAGCAGTGCCACAAATCCTTTCTAAAAAAAAACGAATTGCGATATTTCGGCGGTATAGCGGTTCACATAATCACTCCTCATACATGACTAACTAAGAGCGCGTCCTGCCTTAATGGGAAAGTTTGTAAAAAAAACGACCCCCTTACAACGTTCTACCTTCCTGGCATTTTCGCTTCTTTTCTGGAGTTTCATTTCTGGAAATTCTCCAGTTTTTCTCCAGAAAACTGCTCTCATGGCACTTCTGAGGGTCATCCTTTCAGAAAACCCATTTCCCGCTACTTCTTGCTCAAAAGGACATCAGCTTCTTCCCAAGGGGACATTGACAACAAGAAAGAACGTTCTACGTTTGTGCAAAAGCAGTAATAGATCTTCAATTGTTATGCTGGATAGTCACCGTCACGCAACCCTCTACACCTTCTCGACAATCATAGGCGACCGTTTATAACTTCGAGACAATCATGTTTATCACTATAGGAAATAATGAGATTCTGAATATTGTCGTCATGTATTTTGTTCTGACTTGTAGTGTGAAAACTATAATCGCATCACAGGTGATCGTACGGTAGCCATAACAACCTTGTAAACAGAATCACTATATATTTCCTGACACTAATAGCTTTCCGAAGAATATATTTTTAGAAACATTTTTGAAAGGTTTCGACGAACGGAGCACTTGACGGCAACTTTCCATCAATATTCCCCAAAATATGTAATGTAGTAGGAGAATACGGTATCTATTGAGGCTAACGTTAGAGGCAGTTGGCACGATAAATCTTCAAGACGTGTAGGACTACGCCTAGCAGGACTGAATTCGGCGCCCTAAGCAAGCGATGCGTGGCACCTTTTCCAAGGAAGGTACTAATGCCCTATCAAGCCGTAACATATTGACCCGAACGCCCACCGAGCCCGTCCCGCCCACAAATGTCCGACTGATGCTGGTGCTCGTATCTCTTCATTTGCGAAGTACAATATGAAGCGAAGGGATTGATATGAAGCGGCTGCTGTGCTGCATGGATATATAAATACATACATGCACCCTGTTTACCGTAGCGGCTATTGGCACGATGCCAGCGGGGGACTCGTCCGAAATTACTGAGTAGTGTAGAATGAAGACCTCTTTTGCAGGTTTTTGACGGTTCATTTTGTTTTTTCGCCATTTTCCCACTACTTGGCACTCCTGCTACCATTTTGGACAGAGTACGCGCTAACTGCCTTTAACAGTTCAGAAATGAAGGACCCTTTATGACACAGGATCACAGTTACCTTGAATGCACACTCCACACTGAACATTCGGTGATTTTGAACGAAATGACACTCAACGAAACTTCCACAGGTTACTCTGTAAACCTCATGTGAACCTGATAGAGGCATACATACATACACACATAGTTTGAAAGAGTTAGCAGGCCTCACCAAAGTGAGGAAACTTAGGAAGCTCGTGAAATAGCATGATATACACTCTCCCTGGGCCGAACAGAGCTTTTTTTATCATGATTCGAGTAGGGAACTTTTGCAGGCCTGGTACTGCAGACGGTCCGGGTAATGGGCAGCTGTAGCCAATTGACTTCGCTGCTACTGGGAAGAGGATAGAGTGAATAGAATGAGGTAGAACTAAGGAATCAGAAACTAAGGAATGAATCCTTCTTGAGATCCTCAAATCGGTTATGGATGCCGCCCATGCTTGAGACAGAGTCCCCCTCCTCTCCTCCCTAGGAAGGGGGGGGGGCGTGTACCACGTTCCTTCACTTCACCCACTGTTTCTTTTTTCACCAGACGGCCCCTAACTGCCACCTGTTTATAATCTTTCCGCGCTTGCTAATGGGAACCCCTAACCAGCTCGTGAGGTAGTGACAGATCAAATGTCATGACAAGTTCTGATTGGGACAATTTTGAACTCTTCTCACACATGCAAATTATGTATAATGTCGGAATAAAGCGATGATGTCAATTGGGTATTTCCTTAGGTCCTTGTTTGGATCTTGCCCCTTTCCCCTAACCTCTGAATCTAGAGGTATTAAAGGAATACCTAACAACTCTACTAGGGATGGTCGTCAGGTCGAAGTGGCCGTTTGTAATGAGACCTAGACCACTAGACGTATTTTCAGACGCTGATTTC